GTTGGCTGGTGCAGTGTAGGTCAGACTCATCTACAGACCTGCCAAATTTCATATTGATCAGTGCAGCCGTTTTTGTGCTACGGTAGACCAAAAATCTCCAGAGGAAAATAAATAAATAAACAGTACGACTCCCGCTTACGCTTCACGTGCGGGGGTCATAATAATTAAGCCAATAAGAGTTTTATAACTTGGGACGATTTACTACAAAGTGAGCAGCTTTTCTCTGCTCAGTCTGCTCAGTCACTTCTGTGCTTCACAGAAAACATTCACACAGCCTCTTGCTAAGAAAAAAAAAGATTTGAACTTTTTTTTTTGAGGGGGTGTTGGTTTTGAGTGGCTTGCATTATTTTGATAAATACATGCTCACTCTCTGATAGCAGGACTTTGGTCGTGTGCTCAAGTGGAACATGTTTGTACATTAATGCTGATGCTCTGGACACTTTAGTGCACGCTACACATCACAGACTGCACTTTGTACTAAATCATGTTAAACTTTTGTCCCTACATCCAAACTGAAATCTAGATGACTGGGCCTTTGCAATAGCTGCTCCAAAGCTGCGGAACAGTCTGCCTCTTAATATTCGGTCAGCAGAGACTGTTGAGGCCTTTAAATCTTTGCTGAAGACCCATTTATTTTCTTTGGCTTATGTTTAAGATTTGGAGGTTCATTTAGAGCTTTTTTTATTTTGTGTTTCTGTATTTGCATCTATTATTTGTTTTTTTGATGTCTTGACTGAACTGTGAAGCACTTTGGTCAGCTTTTGTTGTTTTAATGTGCTATACAAATAAATTTGACATTGACATTGACTTTTGAGACAAAATTCCTGGGGTAGTCTGAGGGGCTTGGGGAGGGGGTAACACATCATGGCGGCTGTTTCACAAATAACTATCAGTTGGTAAAGACAAACTATGACCAATTAAATAAACAAATGTGTTTTAAACATATTATTATTATCTGTAAAAGCTGACTGTTGCAGCTTGTTCCTGCAGAGCTCTCATCCCAGATTATAGCTGTGTGTTAGACCTGTACCACAGATGAAGAAACCCGTATTTTTTTCCGTCAGCGCTTTTTAACTTTTATTATTATTAGACTGTTTCGTAGTTACCAGTGCCCATGTGCAGAAATTCCTAAAGCCTGCTTCATACTCCCTCCTAACTGTCGAAACCGCCTCATATTGTTGCAGTTTCTTGATGAAAATTATGCCACCGTGTTCTCAGCGTCGATTCTTTTTGTGCTTTGGTAAGTTTAGTCAGTGCTTTTAAGTTAAAAATTCAGTGGTAAAAGCTCCTAAAATAAGATAACTTAAACATAAACTGTGATTGTGTAAAATACATGATATGAAAGCACAAAGAACTTTTTATCCCTTAACACTTCCAGGTCAGAACAGTGTGAGGAACTCACAGGATCAGTGTCAACATTGGAGAAAAGAGGAGGTTTCTCATTAAAGCAGCAGAGGATCAGCTCACAAACCACCAGGCCAAAGTAGAAGTAGAATGTGGTGAATCGCAGCTTGTCTGGGACGTTGCTCTGTTCATCCACCTGCAAGCAAGACCCAAAACAAACACCATGTTTACATTTACTGAAGTGCATTTTTAGGGATTAGAACATGTCATTTTTGTCATACAGATTACAAGAAGTGTTTTAAAAATTTGGGGGGCAGTAATTTGGAACAGCTCGTTACCATGTTAAACACACATCGGTGTTTCTCACCCCCTGACAGGACTCTTAATGAGTCAACCCATAAGCATAACGAACAGTTACTGTGCAAAAACTATTTCTATATTTTTATGTTTCTAAAGTCGTTTATGTAGGAGATATTTTTTAAAAACCAAAGCTTCTTTTTTCAAAGTTTAGAAAATACAATTCTGTGTTCAGATACAATGGTAATTAACGAGTTTGGATGTGTGAACTAAGTACTATAGAACTGAGAGACACTGTGTCAAAGTGTCAACTCTTTAATTTAGTAATTTAATTAAAAAGGTAAAATAATTGGGATGTTTTATTTGTTTGCAGAAACCTTGGAAAGTTTAGTCAGTGATTGTAAGTTTAAAAATCTGTGGTAAAATATCCAAAAATAAGAGAACTTAAACTGTGACTGTGTAAAAAATAAGATATGAAASCACAACTTTCTGTGAACTTCATGACTCAGCAGTTGCTGACTAATCAGAAATATGTTCAATTTTCTGCAACCAGTTTAAACTCTGAAATTTTCTACTGTGAAAAATAGTTAAACCCCCATACTGGGCTGGGTTTTCTCACTAGATTTGCCCAAATTCCAGTGCCATGTACATAAAATTTTCTTTACAATATTAAACAAATTCCATTAAACTGAAGAATAACATGTAAACTGCTAACAAACAATAGTAACAAATAATAGTGCTTTGGTGCTTATGAATTTCATTTTTAAAACATTCAATGACCATCAGTAAATACATCAGGAGGAAATTCAATATTTTTAAACTCATTATCGTGCATAGTGCAGCCAAGAAGATAAGAAACAACAAGACAGCAAACATGTTTGTACAGAGTACATGCAAATGTGCTCAGATCAACTTCCATCCATTCAAATGAGTAGACAGAAGCTGTATCTATGTATCCAGCACTCCCAGCAGCACTCAGATAAAATCATTGTGATCAAATGTGGGATCAGCTGAAGACAGAGGCTTCACCCTTTGCTGTCAAAACTTGAACTTTTCTCCATCACATATTTATTTGGCTTACTTTTTGTACAGGCATAATCACAGAAATGCAGGCACAGTGCAGCCTTCTCATCTGTCTGCCTGGGTAGTTTGTGACTTTCCTATCAAAAATACACAGGACTTTCAAGACAAACTTGCTGAAGATACTCTTTATTTGATGACAAGTACAACTGCAGCCATGAACTTTGAGACACTGGAATACATGATGCTGGTGGTCAGGGGGTCCAGTGGTGCTGATGCATGGCGGCCCCTGTCAGTCTGCCCCAGGGCAGCTGTGGCTACAATGTAGCTTACTACCATCAGTGAGTGAATGTGAATGAATGGGTGAATGAAGTGTAAAGCACCTTGGCATCTGAAGGGTGCCATTTACCATTCCATTTATTATGTGTAAGAACGCCAGGGCACAAAAACTCCAAAAACAATTCACCAGTGACAACACTCAGACACACCTTTTGCACTCTAACATACTTGCAGAAGAAGGTGCAGTCTGTTGAACTGACAAGATGTTAGAAAAGAGCTATCAGCCCGGTAAGAATGCAGTTGCATCAATGATGACTTGCACTTTTCGTCTGATTCAGTAAGAATCTCAGGAACACTCCTTTACTCGTAAATCTGAATACTCTGTACATGTCAACATGTAAATCCTTAAAATGTGTAGGCAGCTTAAAGGATAAGCATTAGTCTGATTATGCTCCATAATCCACTTATTATGGGCTTTTTAACACTCACTTGAGCCTTTTTACAAAAGCAAGTATGCCACTTAAAACAAAAACCCAGTATGTCAAAGGGTGCAAATGCATTGAAGAACACTTATTTCTAAATGGTAAACGGACTGTGGTTATATAGAACCTTTCTATCTGACCAGGATACTCAAAGCGCTTTACAACACTATTTGTGCCTTCATTCACATGGCACTCTACTAAATCTCTCAAAGGTAATGAGAATAAAGGTAAAGTAAAGGTGCTTTATTTGTAATCAATCAATCTATATAGACTAATCAGTGCTTACTCACATCCTACACTGATGAGACAAACATCAGAAAATGTTTTTCCATTGTAAGGCTTGGATCAGTCCACCCTTGACCCTACTGCTGGTCCGGGCCATGCAGTGCAAAAACAACAGAGGCAGTGAGATTCAGTGTCTTGCCCATGGACACACAGAATAAAACCTCCAACTCTCTCATTGAAGGAACCCCCCCCCCCCCCTCCAATTGTGCTACAATTTTTGATTCGCTTCTCCCCCTACAGCTTCAGAAAAAGCCATGCTTTAAAATGTGCCACTTTATTTTGGTTGAGTCATAAATTGTGTGGCAAAGCCAGAATTTGCAAAATATATTCACATACACAGAAATTAGATTTTAGTGAAAACCCAGATCTCTTATAGCTCAGTCATACTTCACAGTCAACATTATGAAAAACTTAGCTCTGCTGGCGTAGCGCACAATACATCAATGTGTGACAGACGTCTCTCCAAAGTTATTTTCAAAACATGGTGAATAAGCTCCATTGAGCAATTATCTTAGTACATAACTCATCTACTAAACTAAAAGTAAGGATGCTGTGAGTCATTATTGATTTTTCCTTGGTAATAAATCTTTTTGTTGTTGTTCAATCATGTGACCGGGTTGTCTTACAGACCACATGTCTTTGTCATACCTTTCACACATCTACTCAGTACTATTCTTACTGAAAGCAACTCTGTTACTACCTTGCTTCACAGCTCAAAAGCTCATCAAGAGTGAGTTGGATTCAACCCCCCTTGATGCTAGGGTTGGGCATAATCGTATCGTGTGCAATTAATCATCAGAAAAACATTAATCAATTATCTTTTAGCACTTGACGAGGCAGAGTCCGCTCGGTGCTCCTCTCCCCTTCAAATATGATGAACATTTAAAAAAAAGTTCTGTAATTTATTTATCTATCAACACAATTTAAAAATTTATTTGTAGCTTGAAGTCTGTAATTTTGACACAATTTGGAACAGATTTTTATGAAGAGCAAATCTTTCCCACTAAATTGGTCATGCGACCAGGACATAGGGGTATCCAGGGACTCAAGGGGATTAATCGTCAAATGAATCGTTATCGGCTACATACCCCAATTAATCATGATTAATTTTTTTGCCAATATTAGGGCCCTATAATTTCCGCGATGCGGAAAACGCGGATGGAATCGCGGAATTGACTAAACAAAGTGGAATTCAGTGTCAAACGCGGAATCTCACGGAATCTGCTTATTTGGGTGAGGTTCTGGGGTATTTTGGTCGCTAATGCGCACCGTCGATGCAGCTGCCTGGCCACACACACACAGAGCGGAGCAGAGCGGAGAGGTGGAGAGAGAGAAAAAAAGTTAATGGRGAAGCAGCTTTCAGGAACGCCGATATCCTCGAAGAAATTAAAAAATGCTAAGCTTAGCGCAAAGTTTAGGGCAGAACAGTATCCCAGCGATTTTTATGAATCTGGAGAACAACTTTTCTGTAATTTTTGTCAGCATACAGGTGCTGGTCATAAAATTAGAATATCATGAAAAAG